ATCATATTCTTATGCATGCCAGTGCTGTGTGTGAGGTAATTTAAGGTGGTTCTGACAAGTGTCATCGGCATCTTCATATCCGATCACATCGGGGGCAAGCCACTCCCATCCGGTCACATGGGTGGCAAGCCACTCCCACAAAGGAGGCCACACCCATAGAGTAGGTTCGAACAATTTTTGAAACCCACCACTGCTAATATGGCAGGCATATCAATAACACATGTTTGAGGGAGCCAGCTAAAAACCTTCTTCAGAAGATTGAGGCTCTCATGTTGTTATCAGAGCTGGATAGTATATTTGAAAGTCCTTCTGATACTGCTTCTCCCCCTCACCCCGTAACATCTCTTTGCAAGAAAAAAACTTTCAAGAAGTTTAATATGAAAAGCAGCACTCAGCACTGGCAACCTGAGAGAGGTACAAAGATCTTGCAGACTAGGAGAGAATAGAAATCCATTCCACATGTTCCATCTGAACCAGCCTCTCCTTGTCTGATTAAAGTTCTTCCAGGCATCCTTGCTTTCACTCTTGCTCATTGAAGAAGCTGTCCCTATGGAAGCCAAGTGGCCAAGCCAAGTCAAGCCTGCCATGAAAGGCAGTGCCAAGTGACTAAGAGGGGTGTCTCTTCGCCAGCACAAAGTGGCCCATCCCAGCTTGACCATATAATCAGCATTGTTAGTGAAGTGACCTAGAACATGTCCATAGCAAGAGGAGTCAGAAAACGGAAATCTCTACACTTAAATTGGAATAAAGATACATGTAGGCTCCCCTCATAGCAGTCTGGGGATGAAATGAACACGCCATCATTGGGAACACATTTTCTAATAGCACTTGGCAACTGCTAGTATCTTCATCTTCTAGTTAGAAAAATTTGAGGATGAGCTCATTGTCTCCATATGTACCCAATAGCCCCTGGACAAAAAATAACTCAGGATGAAGGTAATGGTGATGGTGATGATGATGATGATAGCAGTTTTAAGATGAATTTGGAGTGGAAGTTTGAGAAGTTACCCCAACTGCATCTGCTGATCTGCTTTATAGGAATTCCTCTTTTCTTCCTATTACACTACCTTTGCATACTTGCAAACATGGCAAATATTACTCAAATATTCACTCCGTTTATAGAAAGGTGGGTGCAGTGCCCCTGCAGTTTTTCCTTCTTTCTTTGATGTGCATATAAATCCCACATGAATCATATTTCTTGAAGGATGAGAGTGCTTGCACATCTCAGAGTGCAAGTAAGTTTTTTTGCACATCTGCAATAAATCATCATCTGGAAGGAGTCCCAAAAGAACAATGATCTGCGTCAGTATCTGTCCATTTGCTCTGGAACAGGTCTCCGACATTGGCCAGTTTGTCTAGAAACTGGTCACCTAGTTTATACCTTCTAGCCAATTCACTAAGTTACAGCAACTTGAGCATTGTTTTCTGCACTCTAGATCAGTTGTTCTCAACCTGGTCCATCGGGGGACCATCCCATAGATCTAGGGGGCCTCATTCTCTTGCTGCTGCTACGCATTGCATATTTTTGTATATTTTTTGAAAAATTGTTTGCAATTACGTCTGCATAGAATTAACCTTTTTGGTAGCTACTACCAATGACTTTGTCTTAATGTTATAAAGACAATTACATTACACAATACAGTTCAGATTAATAAACAATGCAGATAGTAAAAATAGACAGCTAACAGTATCTTTGAAAGGGGTTGCAGAGGTAAATTATACTCACGAGGGGCCATCAACAACAGAAAAAAAGTTGAGAACACTTGCTCTGGACTAGTAAGAAATCAGTGCGCTACCTGGTAGCCACTTCAATGAGACATTTCAATCCCAGGGCCAACTTGTCCTGACTATTCATTATGTTGATGAAAGTCAAGAAGCAGGTGTAAAATTATCCCCCAAGTCAGAGCTTGCTATGTAAGATTTAATTTATTTGTTGAACAAATTTTCACTTAGCTGTCAATCTTTAAAACAAAGGAATTGATACAAGTCCATGAAAGGCAAGGCTTATTTAGGCCAAATGCTCACGTGGGCCTCCGGTGGTGGATAGTTGTACTGCCCAAGAGAAAGTAGCCAGCAATGAAATAATCAGAGGTAGTGCAGAGACAGGGTAAGATATTGGCAAGCAAAATATAGGAAGCCCAGGAATAGGCAAACAAAAGTACAGTACGTTGTGTGGCCAAGTTTAGCCTAGAGGTTCCTCTGCTGTTCGACAGAGGGATTGTGTGTGTGTGTGTAAGAACAATTATAGTGGAAGGGGAGAGAGGCTGAGGAAAACAAAAGCTTAGCTACTTTTCTGCCATTCATTTCCCCACTGAAATCTCTGCTCAGTCTGAGAAAAACCTAGCGGTATAACGGGAGCTGCATAAGGTTTTATTTTATTCTTTTGGTCTGGTCCATGTTACCCTTCAGGTTTCTGTTTATTTGTTTGCTTGTTTCTTTGTCAGGTTTAGTTTCGCCTCCACAACCGCTGGTTATTTGCAAGAGAATGCACGAGAAGGACACATGTGGCATAAATGAACATTAGGGTCAAATCATATCGTAAACGTAACTGGCCTTTTTAAAACTCATATGCAATCATGCCCAAAGAATTGCTTTTGACCTGTTGGACAGAACGAGGAAAAACATGAGGCTGGAAGTGCTGCAACAATCTGCTTTGCACCTCCAGGTACCATGATACGCACAGTTCAACGGTCACACCCATACTCAGCATGTAGCATAGGGAGAATAGGTCACTGGAAGCAGCATCTGTTCCTTCCAAGGGGTGACTGTGTTGCCTGTTATCTCCAGCTGATCCTTGTCACCTCCAGAAGAGCAAGGGTTATATACATATCTCCATTCTTCCCAGCTCCCCACTGTTTCATCTCAGTCTTGTAAGAGGAATGGGTGCCGCTGTTCCTTGGTTACTGGTAACGGTCTCCCAACCACATGGTTAGATCCTTACAGCTCCTTTTCTGAGTCATGTATCTCAGCCGTACGGAACATGAGGCTTCAGGGATGGTGGCATTTAACACACACACAATCATGAGTGAGGCCACCTCCACCCATTCTTAGACTTGATGCCGTGCGAGGTGTGATACAACTCACACCAGGGTTGTCAATACAGGACAGAAAAAAAATACTTTGGTATTTGTTAAATCTCCAGCATTTTGACAGAAAGAAGGGATGTCAATAGGCTCAGTTGATCAGCAAGGCCAAAGGGGGCCTCTATCAGGGCAAGGACAGTTTTAGAAGGGTGGATTTTAATTCAGGGGATGCTTTTGCCAAGAGTTGCCTCCATGTCCCCTTCAGTGGCCACCGCTTGCCTGGGCACCCGGTTTCTCTCACCGGGCTGCTTGCCTCGTCCTTTTTTGCCACCCTCCAGCAGGTTCTTGCTCTTTGGGAGTTTGCTTTTATGCCACAGTGGCCGATCTCCGCACCACACACGCTCACAGTATTCCTCCATTTTCTGCAGATTGGCATAGCCAATCAGATGCATGATGTCTTTGAACCACAATCGTTGTCCATGCAGCAGGCGGACTCGGCATGGAGACCGAGGCAGCTCCTCCTCCTGCTCCTTCTGGAAAATTTGTTCCAGCTGCTCGTTCTCAACCACTTCCAAAATGATTTTGGTGACAGTCTGCGTAAAGCCCTGCTCCTGAGACCTGCAGTAATAAGTTCCAGTATCCTGACGAAAGACTTTCCGAAATAACAATCCGTATTCTGTCTTCATGATCCGTTCATCTGTTTTCACCTGGAAGAGCCAGGGGGGGGGGGAAGGAAATATATTAGGCAGTTTTCTAGAAATTCAGTTTGATTTAATCAAGATACTGCAGGATGTCAAGAAGTGGGTAGACTTTCCCACAAAAGTAGACTCAGTCTTTCTTAGGGACAAAAAACCCAAACAGATTTGTGAATATGCTATGATTCACATCTTTACTCACATATATTACAGTATGCTTGAACTGATGCAGCAGTGTATGACAAAATGATAACAGTACGGGTATGTTGTAGAAATTCCAGCAGTTTGAAATGCATCTTGCTTCACCCCATAAGTAGGCAAGGCAGAATTTTAAAAAAAAGTAAATGCTTATTTCACGTAACTGATGTGACTCTGAGAAGGGATTTTTATAATTGATTTTTAAAAAGTAGAATTACACTTGCTAAATACTGAAGATACTGGTAAAGAATGGACCCAGAGCCTGGAACATCCAGGCAATCTGATAGATATATAAAAGATTGCCCTTAAGATCAAAGCTGTTAAAAAAAAAAAAGCTTCCACTTCATTTCCACTATTTCAACTACTTTTGTATTAGAGCTTCTGAAACATCCAGTCAGGCTTTACATTTCCCCCAAACCGTGCTGCTTATCCTGACCCAGAAGTCTTGTCTTTCCCTCAAATTGCCAGACTCCTTTGGTGGCTGGCAATTTTCAATAAATGAAAATGTTTCTCTAGTTTGGAAATGTCCTCATCTATAAAAATGTTCTAATTCCAATCCAATCCTTTCTCTGCCATTAGGTTGTGAATTCCTCAAGTGACTTACTCCTAGTTGTATGCTGGGTAATAATAGCAGTAGTGCCTAGAACAGGGCTGTCAAACTCCTGGCCCATGGGCCGGATGCATCACATGCTGGCCACGCCCACACCCGGTTTAGCAAAGGGAGGGGGAAAGTCCCGATACATCATGTGATGCCGCTGTGACGACATGAGTTTGACCCCCTGGCCTAGAAGGAATTTTTCTAGGGAGAAAGCAATCCCCAAAGCCACCCCAAAAGCCTACCTAAAATGCTAACAATGCTCAGCTACAAAACACTTTTGTTCAAGGCTCCATCTTGAAATGGCCTTCTCCTGCAAACACCTTCTACCTGCAAGAATCTATTCCAGCTGAGTTTCCTGACACAAGCCCCATAAAGGAAAACACCTCATACTGAAACAAAACAAAAGCAGCAGATAGATGTACAACTTGTTAATTTCTTCCCTTCTTTTTAACGATTGACTTGTATTTATTGTTTTATACAAAGAACAAGAAGCGCAGCAGGAGCAGCACATTCCATTCATCTGTGTGGTCCTTCAGAAAGTTGAAGGGAGACATGGGAGGAGGTCTGACACCACTGCACCCTCAGGAGATACCAGGGCTGTCCTTATTAGCAAATGATGGTTTTGGACTGGAACTCAGCAGCTGTGTTTACTTATCAGTTCCCATCTTCTATATCCCAATTGCTCTCCAATCATTGTGTATTATCACTTCCCTTCCTGGGAATTACACTTGCCTGGGAAAAGAGGAGAAAGACCTCACACAGTAGGGGGGGGGGAGTTCCCTATTTTCAGTTTAGTTACGAATTTCTCACCACACTCCCTGAAATAGCAATTCCAAGAACCAAAAGTTTGGTGTAGTGGTTGAGGCCTACAAACCAGGAGACCATGAATTCTAGTCCCATTTTAGGCATGAAAGACAGCTGGGCCAGTCATTCTCAGTCAACCCATCTGATTGTGTTGTTGTTGAAGGAAAAAGAGGAGAAAAATGAAGCACTGGGTATCTTTGACGTCTTAAGTAACTTATAAAGTGATAACAGTGGGATAATTTACTAAATAATCTACATCAGGGCTGTCAAATTTACGGCCCATGGGCCAGATGTGTCACATGCTGCCCACATCTGGTTTAGTCACAATATGTCACGTAATGCCACTGTGACGACATGAGATTGGCACCCCTGATCTACATGCAGATAACTTCAGGAAGAAAACCCTCTCCTTGAAGGCTATTTGCCATTACAAATAAGTTTTTAATATAGAGTAGAATCCAGCATGAAGTAGTAAAGTATGTTATTTGCATTATGTAGAATAATTATTGGCCTTTTTATTTTAAATATTCATGGACTGTCCTTCACTTTGCTTGCATATTTCTCTGGTTTCCACAGTACTGGCACATATTGTAAAGGCAACTTTATTAATAATTTTGTAATTTTTACTCAAGCTTCTATGTTGTGATTTGATATGCAAGTCTGCCTCTTTAAAAAACATTGTGATTATGGCAAAATAATTTGTGGGAAAATATCCCCCAAATCATCACACTTTTCTGGCAACAATGAAAGTTACAGATTTTTACTGAGAGCCACTCCCTAATATATATGTATTCCAAACCACTGAAATCAGGCCTAAAGATTTAAGAAACCATAGCAGGGAGAAGCGAGGCTGTGCCATTATTCCAGAGACCTACTTCAAAATTAATTAATTGGAGAGTCTATGCCTCCTAAATTATTTTTTTTCCTATAAGGATGGTCCACCATTTGTACAGAAAGAATGTAAGTTTATCTTCCATGCTTTGAGCACAAGTAAAAATAGAGTTTTGGATTTAATAGTGAGGGATTAATATGTCATTTGCTGTGATTCAATATTATAAGAACTTGCTGAATAGTTCAGTCTTTTTTATTAAATATTTAATGAGTTCATCTTTCACTTGCACTTTTTGTGTATTTTTTTAAAAGAATTCCCAGTGGAAAAAAATATGCACACATTTTAAACAATTATTTTGAAATTATTTTCAATCAAAGTATTTTCTGATATTTCACTGCCCTGAAATGTATACCCTTTATCACCAAATCTATCACCAAATATTTCTTAGCTGAGAAATGCATCATAAAATTCAAAGAATAAAATCTAAAGGACATATCTTTCCTTGGTCACCTATGAATTTGCATCAAAATTAATTTATTTTTGAATATTCAAGCAATGGATAACAAAGTATCTTTATTAGGAGTTTAATAGAACCAGAATTCAGTGGATCTGAACATCAAAGCATGTCAGCAGAGAATGATACTTCTTGTGAGGTGTCATTCTGATCACCTCACAAAAAGATATCAAGATAGACAGAAAAACAAACCCACCCCTACCCTTCCTCAGTTGATCCTTGACCAGGACTTGTCCCTGAAGGTCCATTCCCAATGTCCAAACCTTTTGAGAATATTCCCATATACACACTCCTACAATGAACTCTGAATTAAGAGTTCTTCATTCCTCATCCTCTCTTATTTACTTCAACTGCTGTTGCTGAAACGTTTGTGTTAATATTCCTGAGGTCCCCAGTGTCTATTTTTTTGGTTTCTTCCAGTAGGAAGAAAAACGGGAATATTACTTTCTAGCCTTAAAGGCAATCAATCAATTTCCTTCTTAACTGCAGATGGAAAGTACCTCTTCTTAGTATACTCTCTAGCAACATCACAACAATAATCTTCCCAAACAATTTCTTCCCCACAGAGGGCTTGCATGCCAAAGTAGTTCTTGACTGTAGTTCTTGACTGATGGTCAATTTACCAATGTCTGATCCCCAGCCATCTGCAAATTAACACTCTGGTTGCCATAGACTGCGGTTGCATCAGTAATCAATTCAGCTGTTTTAGCAAACTCACTGAATGCCTCCTTAAGGGGTTCAGGGTCAGTTAGTAAAGCCTTAAACAACTCACATACCCATATTATCAGAGCTGGAGTGTGGGGAACAGCTATAAAAATAACACTTGAAGGCCCACAACAGCTGTTTCATGTTATTTAAGCTCTATCCATCTTACATTCAGTAGGAGCCATAAGAACTGTAATTCTTTCTCTTTGGACCACTGTCTTGGCAATGATGGCCAGGAGTAGTTTATTGACAGAAGACATTCCAAGCTATTGTATTGCCTCCTTGAAAAGGAGGTACAAATTAAGAGAGGAAAATGCTTCATATTTAGCAGGCTCCGTTACATGATAATCTATTTTCTTTTATTCAAGTCCGGATACAAACCACTTTTTCCCCTGGACCAGATTTTTTAAAAAAAATCAGATTGAGGAATGAGAGGGAGGGTAGATCACATCCACCAGATGCAAGAGTAGCTCTGCCATGACTGGAAGAGGTTGAGGAGACCTTTCTTATTGGTTCCATCTTTGCTAACTAAGAACTCCACATGTGCTTATAGCCTGAAGAGAAGGCAGTTTTATTCACAGACAGGGAACTTTTCCACAGAATGGGGAGGGGCACACTTGGCAGAGATCCTCAGCTTTTACAGCTGTATTGCAGACTGAAATTTAGTAATTAAAGATCTCCCAAACCCCCACAATATAACCAATATCTGTTGTAAGGAAACAGTCAAGACAAAAAAAATGTAGTATTTATGTGACAGAAGCAGCAGGAACAATAATGTGCTAAGATGACATATATTTACAAGAGAAAGAGCATATGTTTGTGTATACTTAGAGGGAGAAGATATAAAGAAAATTGCCATTAAGAAAACAAAAGCAAGAGTGCCTCACCTCATCTCTTAGCTCCTCTGGAGATCTGCGTACAAACCATTGCACTGCAGCTTGGGGTGATTTTGGGATACACTCTAAGAAGGTACTGTTGTGCTCCGTCCCATACACCACCTTCTCCGCAATGCTGTCAAAGTCATCCACTACAAAAATACAAAAATTGAAGTTTTAAAGAAGAGATTGGACAACCATTTGTCTGAAATGGCACAGGGTTTCCTGCCTGCGCAGCGGGTTGAACTAGAAGATCTCCAAGGTCCCTTCAAACTCTGTCTATTCTATTCTTCTTTATTCTACTCTATTCTATTCTACTCTATTCTATTCTACTCTATTCTATTCTATTCTACCCTACCCTACACTACACTACACTACACTACTCTAAAGACCAATCATTTGCAAATCACCCATTTCCATAAAAGGGGTCACGATGATCCAGGATTGCTTCTGAACAGGTGAGAGGTAGGAAAGGGCTTGAAGCTTGGCCCAACCTGATACTTTGCTATTTGGTAGAGAGATATTAATTTCCAATCCAAAACACTGAGTACTGAATCAGAATTGCCAGATGTTTGCAGGATTAATTCAAGATGCCGAAGACTCCAAGATCTCCTCTCTTTCCCAATATTCCAGTGAAGATGGTGGTGCTCTGTTTATGTTTTCATAAAATAAGTGCTGTCCAAAGCAAAACTTTGACCCATGTCCCTGTGGAAATGTCTGTTTCCATGTACAGAAAGGTCATTATTAATGGTAATACAGCAGACGCCTTACCTATTTGTAACTGATCTTAATGCTGCCATGTTCACACTCTCTAGTGTACTTGAAATCCAAGGATATGGCAGGTACAGCTCCACAAAAGCCATCCCATTTTGCCCCACTGCTCTAAACACATATTCCCAAGTTCCTTCACCTGTTAGGTTTTGATCCAGGCACTGGTGCATAGGGTTCCCATTCTGGATGTCTTGCCTGCGAAAGCGACGTTTGCCCAATTCCTGGTATCTGGTGCAAGTGAGACCATCCCAGGCACAATACGGATCCCGTGCCAGGCAACATTCTGCACAGGCAGTCCCGTAAGTCTCACACTGATGCAGTTTCACTTGGGCAACACCGATCCGTGAGCCCACATAAAGCATTTGCTGTCAAAGGAAGCCAAAGCAGGGTTAATCAGAGGAGTGCCAAATCACCTTGGAGCTGGTATTTTTGTGCTGGTGAATGGAATAAAGCACACAGTGAAATTGGTGGGCATTGTTTTTGAACATGGAGCACTCACTCCACTCACACTGATATACCTGTTTGGGTAATGAAATGTCTGCAAGTAAATAACCATGCTCAGAGACCACCCAGGACTCCACAGTTCAGCTCTGAGTTACCGATATTCTCTTCTAGTGAGACATCTTTTGTCTCTATAAGAATTTCCTCCGCAGTCTTCAGAAAAGAAAACTGGAGTTTAGCTTGCTAAAAGCACCTCCATACGAGGATTCTGATCCCACCTGAAGCCAACTCCAAACCTGCCTAATTTCAGGAGACCGGCTTGCCTGGAGAGTAGGCTGCCTTACTCCTAGTGGTGTTTTGGTTCAGTAAAATGGGGATACATGTGTAGTGTTTGCTGGAATGCTGCTGCTGAGTGGGGATTGTGAGGGAGTGGGGCAACCTCCTTGGCTCATTTCCTGGGCTCGTAAGCCTTCACTCTTTCCTCCCCCCATACCACTGAGGGTCAATTCCTACATCATCAACTATGTATTTATTTCCCCTTCTCGCCCCCACCCCTTCCATCCCAAAACTCTTACAGGTCCTGGAAGGAATGCCCTGCCAAAAACTAAACGGATATGCTTTTGTTCTAGATATGTTTTTAAATACAAAAAACAAATGATGTCTAGGTATCTAAATAATCTATTTTAACTTTTTATTTTTCAGTTCCACCCCTTGCTTTATCAAGTTCCCATAATAGTAACATAGACACTAGAAACAGTGCACGTCACTTTTGTTATGAAACAGGGAACTAATTTTTTTTTGCTCCTTTGGGACCCAAACAAAGTTAGGGAGCAAATCCCGACTGAACTATTTTTTCTAAGCTACCCTACTGATCAGTGGGAAGGAAGATTGATATATATTGAACCCAGGACCGATCAGCAAGAGAACCAATCAGCTGCTCAGAGTTTAAATATAGCTTCAAATGAACAACCAATCACACGACCAACTGACCAAACTGGCACACAAGACATTTATACGCTAAAGGAGAATAGGAGAAGAAAATCCTGATGCTGATGTTACCTAGTAGGGTAATGAAATGTTCAGAAACTAAATTGAAACAAGCTTGGAGAGCAAACCACTGCCAGATTCATGCTGATCTTTTACAGGTAAGATGGCAAATGCCAGACCTGCCATCTTGGTATAGAAACAAGTGGAGAAGTGTCAAATTTAATGGGAACAATGGCACTGGGAAGGACTGTTCAGTCTCTCCCCCCCCCCCCCCGCTATATTTTCCTGATCTAAATTGCCGTCTTCCTTTTTCTACTGAATTTGGTCCTCTGAGTGAAAATATTCGCAGCTGTGTCATCAACCTTCTTGAGTTACAGCATTTGGAAGAGCAATAAAATTAAATGGCTTTGGAATTCCCACAGCTTCCTGGATATGTTATGACATTATTTATGGCCATTCAGAATTGAAACTGATCGTATATACGTTCATGTCAAAGAAAACCTACTCGGTAACATCAGAGGTCTTAGAAGTCAAGACATACAGAAAGAAGCCACATTACATACACCTTGAGATAATTTGCGGTATCAAACTACAGTTAACATTTTTCACAGATCAGATTTAAAATAGAAATTCATGATTTAAATAATGATTTCACATTTCTAATTTGCATATCAATGACTATTGGAGAATAATTGGGAAGTTGTCCGCTGTTTATAAAGCAGAGACATGTTTTCCCCAATGTAATGCCCATTGAAATGGACTACACAACCTATGATTTACAAACAGGATTCCCAGTCTATCTGAGATTATGGCTTCTGAATTTAACAGAGCTGGATAATGCTAAGATTGGAGGAAGGTAAATTATATTATGATGGTTCCCTGTTTGGGTATAAATGTTTGCTGTGAAGTCAGAGCTTCTTTTGGAAGAAGTATCTGAACTTTCCCTGGTTTCGTTGGAACTTAATATCTTTATTGTATTTGTTTTACCCCTAACTTTCAACAACAAATCACCATAATCTACTGTAATCTAAAATCTGGGAGATGTTTTGTTGGACTTCAAGCACGGTGGTGATTGTAAACTGTTTTCATCAACACCATATTCCCATAAAGCACCTATTCTTTTTTGTTCCTATTTTTTAACTTTTAGTTTAAACAATCAATATTTGGAATGGCAGTTTACTAATTTAGCATCCACATTGTCACATTACAGATCACATTATGATTTCCTCATATGTCCTGGGTTGACAGAAAATGACTTATTATTGTTTATAAAATATAGTCCCCCCAGGTCCTGTAAAATGACAGTTTGCCATTCTGTTTCCTTAGCACATTCATCTTGTAGTTTTTTAGGTAAAACTCCTGGCCAAATTTTATTATGAACCACTTTACTGGTGAGAGGAGAGGTGTATAAATCAGGGGTGAAATTCAGCAGGTTCTGACAGGTTCTGGAAAACTGGTAGTGGAAATTTTGAGTAGTTCGGAGAACCGGCAAATACCACCTCTGGCTGGCCCCAGAGTGGGGTGGGAATGGAGATTTTGCAATATCCTTTCCCCAGGAGTGGGGAAGGAATGGAGATTTCACAGTATCCTTCCCCTGCCATGCCCACCAAGCCTTGCCCACAGAGCCGGTAGTAAAAAAAAAAAGAATTTCACCACTGATATAAATAATTGTAAATAATGTAATTTTCACATGATAAATTATTCAAATATAAAGCTGAGCATTCATGATTTAAGTGAAAAAAATAAAATTGTAATAGTTATTTTTGCTACTTGATTCTATATTTATCATATATACTGTATGAAAGATTCTAAAACAGAACTCTTTGTTTAGTTATACTATTCAGTTCATCAATGACATTTTCTCCAAAAATCTGATCTTTTTCCACATGTGACTCTAAGGTGGAAAAATGTTAAAGCTGATACTTTTGCAAACTTTTGCAGCTCCCTTTTAATATGAAACAAAGGTGCTGTGTTTGAGTATCTATCACATTGCAGGAAGATTTTTCTCTTGAATGCATACTTATTACATATTAATAAGAACTCTTGTATTTAAATCTCCTTGCACTGTTCCTAAACCTCCTTACAGAGTCTGATCCTGGTGATTGCCATTCAGTACTGTAACATTTGTAATTTAGATTATTATTAATTTCATCTGCTATAGAATTGCCTGAAGGTATTTTTTTTCAAAAAATCATAAATTAATCATTAGTATTTTAGTCTGGTAACAATTTGACCTTCAGAGATTTTTCAAAATCTTTTTATCTTGATTTGTATTATTGTATCCATAATATTTTTGTTTTAGATATAAAAGCTGTGTGGTGATTTTATCAAACTCCAAAATATCTTATTATTTTTTTCCTTTTCTTTTCTAACTGTTTATATACATATTGACAGACTGCTTACTGTATTTTGCCAATATATTCTTGATTTCTATATCTAATTTATTTGTAGATGTTGAAGATTCATTTTCAATTATACCGATCTGGTTTATATATTCATAATTATCTGAATTACGTACTGATATTAATACTTTCATAGATTCCTATCTTATTATCAGTATATTGCCAAATATGAATAATTGCCTAATTTTCTTTAAAAATTATTAAAATGTGAAATAAATGTTATTTTGCTGCTTCATTGAAGGTTAATATAGGATTAAATCACATAAATGAGTGTAGGTTATATTATTATCTAATTTTATCTCTAATACATTGGTAATTGGACAGTCATAGTTCTCTATGACTAGATTAAGCTCTTAACATAATTTTCTACAGGCTTTTATACAGTGATTTTTGGGTTTTATATTTTTGAATAGCAATTTTTGTTCGAATTTTTGTTCCTGAGTTTGTATTTGCCATTTGTCCCAGTAGCAGGTTCTCTATGTCAAATCCATTTAAACACTGCATTACATTCTGAAGGAATCTTGTTTGTTAATTAATTAATTATTACTTTTTTTGTCCAATTTCCTTTAGCAAACATTTAAGACTTTTAAAATTCATCTATAGCGATGCTGCAGGAAATTCAAGCAATAGAATAAAAGATAAGTATTTTGGAAAAGTACAATTTGTTGGAGGGGTTGAAAGAGTGAATGGCCATGCCTAATTTAAATATTATTTTGAGTTTTATAGTAAAAACACAAATGGATGATTTATTTTTATAATTCATTTATTACTTACCCGTTTCACAGAAATTTCCATCTCAGTGATGGGGACTGGTACCTGGAGGACATGAAGACATGGCGGTTCAGCTAATGTATATCACCAAAATGACCCCCAACCCTATCCTATGACTCTACATTTATGTATTTCTAATAGTCACAGAAGGTCATTATTGTCCCAGCTATTTTCTCACAAAAACAAATGTGTGCACACAAATGGCAGTTGGACAAATCACTCGTTTGAAAATTAAACTTTCAGTAAATCTGAAAATTAGGGCTAATGGAAGTATACAGCCATTCTCTTTCCCAGATTACTCAATAATTATAAGTATAAATAAGTATACTTTCTATGATCTTTTTCTCTTTTATCCTGAGAAAAACTGGATCAAACAGAATGGCAAATTCCAACAAGCAAGGCTCTTGCGCTATCTAAAAAACAGGGCAAGGTCCCATTATCCATGAAACTTCATTAGCCACATAGGAAACCAAGCCTAAAAGCAGCCTTAAATAATTACTGCAGTATTCATATTATGGCTACCTTTATCATAGCTCCTTTATGTAGTGTATGTATACGTATGTACGTACGTACGTACGTACGTATACATACATACATACATACATACATACATACATACATACATACATATCTGGATGCATAAAATACAATTTTTCACTTTCCAAGATAGGCTTCTAATTAATAAAGATTTTTTTAAAAAAGAAATTGTTCAGGATGATGGCTGTCTTCATAAAACACCTTACAAACATGGAATTATATCGCTAAGAAGTAATCAGGCACGAAAGTGGTCCAAGGATGACTATTACCGCATATGAGGGGTGGGTTCCGGCCACCATTACTACCGGTTCGGCACCTGAAAATGTTTGCTCCGCACACGTGCACATTTGCACTTAAAACAATCTGTGCATGTGCACATCATTTAAAAAGGAATAATAATTACATTTTTTCAATGAATATTGTTCTGCGCGTGTGCAGAACAGAAAATCAAGATGCCGCTGCTGAGGATAGAACCGGTATGGTGATGTGTCTGCCGGAGTTACTACTTATTCAGCTGAACCAGACCAAATAGGGTAGGAACCCACCTCTGCCGTACAGGTGCCCATTGATATTGTAAGGCTTTGTCAGAGGAACACATGCAAATACTATGCAAGAAAACAGTGAAAGTCAAGCAATATGCAATATAATCCAAATTAGCAAGCCAGGATTGCTCTTTTGCTGATCTATATATATGAGGCTCACATATATACTGCTTTTTTTTTTACTGAACCTTAAACACTTGAAGTTCTTCCAAAACAACTTCTTCAACAGCAGCAAAATTTCCTCTTTGTAGGGCTATGACCTTCAATATGGAGCCAGCCTCTAAAAGGGAGGAAGAAGAGAAAGCGCAATGAAACAAGGCCATTCCTGAGGTCACCTAAAATCCTGGCAAAGCTGATTGGGGAGTTTTTCAAAAGCTGCTCTTGAACAGCGGGTAGCCTAGAATCTGACTCCTAGTTTTACACTATATAGTACACTATGCTACTAATATGTGATTTTGGATTTTTCCTTTGCATCCCTGAATCATCTTTATTCTTTCTCTCCCTGAATCTTTTACATTTAAAAGCTATTGGGGGAAATGCTAATTTAAAAAGTATTTTTCAATGCTCAGCTTTCCACCTTAAAAAAATGAAATGGTAATATAACCATTTTTTTTCTCATTCTCTGACCTTGACTTAGAAAACATTTCTTGTAGCTTGCCAAGCTATTGTTTTTCTCACCGTTGAATAGGGCCTACATTTTGAAATACAACAAGCAGATGGACACAATTTCTAAGAAAGAAGCCTTAATGGAAGACTAATTTGAACACCTCTTCAACACAATACTGTAATTGGAGATTCCGTGAAGAAGTATTTTCCTTGAAGAAAATACATGTGTGACTTCCTCAAATCCATTCATCGACTTCACCATTTCTCTCCTCCTGAATAAGTGAAAACTGAAAATATTCTATTTTGCTGGTATAGGGCAAACTTCCTATAGTGCCAAAAAATGGCAAATCATTCAGAGTGCCTCATGGTGGTTACAATGTAGTTCTAACTGCTTCACAAATTGGTCCAAATGGCTCACTTCAGAGGGGAAATTCAGCAGGTTCTGACCGGTTCTGGAGAACCAGTAGCGGAAATTTTGAGTAGTTCGGAGAACCGGCAAACACCACCTCTGACTGGCACCAGAGTGTAGTGGGAATGGGGATTTTGCAGTATCTTCCCCCCAGGAGTGGGAATGGAATGGGGCTTTTGCAGTATCCTTCCCCTGTCATGCCCACCAAGCCATGCCCACAGAACCGGTAGTAAAAAAAAAATTGAATTTCACCACTGGCTCACTTCTATTCTGAATTCAGCCAAACATGATGCACAGGCCACAACACATAGCTAAGTTTGGCTTGTCCATTTATCAGCATTTTACCCAAGATCCCTTGGGTCAGGATGTAGTCTGAAGATTTGAAAAGTCAGGAGATTATCTTCAAACTCACAAATGACAAGTAACTTCATATACGGCATCTGCAGCTTGGAAGAGAGATGTTCAGGTACTGCTGAACTCCAATTCATCACATGATGAACACTGTACCTGTGCCAATGAACATGACATCGTAATGCCCGTCCTCAGCTTCCACGCGGTCCACCACTAACTGCCGTAGGCGATGCTGCAGGTTGGTTTTCACCAGCACAGGCCGCCGTTGTAGCGGATACACAGATTTGCTCATCAGGGGGTGAGCACGTGCAAATTGCAATACCTCATCTGGGTAGTCTTTGGTGGAGGAGTACTGACGACTTGGCTGATTGGTGGTTTTGCTGGGGCACTAGGAGAAAGGAAATAATTTTAGCAAATAGCTCTGTTAATACTATTTATTAGGAATGAAAGCCAACTCTTTCCCCCATTTCATTATGTTCCTTGATTCTTCCCATGCTTGCAAAATTTATTCCAGAAGTTGAGGAAATGGGGGTGGGGGTTTGTCATTTCCACTGACATGAATAGTTCTGGCAGCTTTAGATAATCACACAAAACATCATTTTGCATGTCATTTTTTAATTTCTTTCTTTTACGTCAAATTGCTCTTCCTATACATTGTTCTTTTCTTTTCAGGAAAATCATCAACTTTATTGTTATACTTACAACTCCTGGCCTTGGGTAAGGCACCTTGCCCTCATAAGCTGCCCATTGATGATCAGGACCATCTTTATGAGCAAATGGTCCATTAAAAACCTCCCAGATGTCTGCCATACGATAGACACAGATGGCGAAGCCTTGGAAGACATTGCTGTAATGAGAAAAAGTTACTCAAATATTGCTTGTAACACAAGATTTAAATGTCACTGAGATTTGCTTGTTATCTCTCTAGGCTGCAATTCAGAAAGAAAAAAAGATTTTAGGTAAACAAATGTCTAGAAGATTACAGTTTTTTGGAAAAAAGAATTCATACTGTATAGATCCTACTGAAGTTAACTGAAAAATTGGGAGAAAAGCAAACTACCGTATGTTGGATATACAAAAAATTATAAACTTATTATTAAGGACATTTTTAAAAGATTCACTGTTAAAAGTAATCAAAGACAGAACTACAAGCTACAGATGGAAACATCATACCTGATGGTGCTAAACAGTCCATAGACTTCAGGATTCTTGCCATCTTTAGCCCTCAGAAGAAAGACGTCCTCTGTTGAATAATGGATGATCGAATGAGTTCTGTAACTGTTCTGTCAATATACTCACTCTACACAAACATTTTTCTAAGTGTTTTTTCTAATATCTTTGCTGGTTCAGGAATTATGGGAGTCGAAGTCCACAAGTCGTTAAAGAGCCACAGTTCCTCATACCTGGCCTAGAAGATATTTGTGCTGTCCATTTTGTTTCACTGCTACTAATTCCTCTTAACTACCACTGCCCAATCTAAAAGAAAATTGCATGGCATCACACTCTAGCATAGGAACACAATCTTTTCCTGAAGTGAGAGTTGTGCTAGTCTGTGGGTGCTATGCTGGAGAAGAGGATCCATTCCAAAAGTTGGGCAGTTGGGCAGAGCCAAAATAAGACTACAACTGATTTCATTTGCATGTCATTAAGCATCATCGATATGATTACTCTTCATCCATGCATTTAATAATTTCCTCTTTCTCTTATACCAAAATTTATCATTTTTATTTGGAGGTTGCAGACACATTTGGGGGCAGGGTTGCATAAGGCTGTGGATCTCAGATTATGAATTCCTAACACAAGCATTTATCATTGACTTTAAACTCCCAGTGATTTTTGATCAAGCACTGATCAAATCTCCACTGACTTAGTTTTACGATTGGTATAAAATTAAATGTCCCTGGTTATTCTAACAACCCCATACGATAAATATAAATTCTTAATCCTCTACAAACCAACCAACTGTGATTATGGAATATAGGTCATACCCAGTTCATCAAAGTGTGTGTCAATGCCATCTGGTCCTGGGACGGAACACACAAGACGGGCTTTATTGAAAGTGCTCCATTTGTTGACCAGCACTCGTTGTCCACCAGCATCATTCTGGTGAAGAAGAAAAATAAATATTGCTCAGAAATGAAAGCTACTGACAGAGTGGCACATAAATGTTTTTGAACCTTCTGAATTGGTAATATTTTGGCATAAATATGACTTAAAACATGATCTTTCTCTACACAACTCCTGAAATAAGATCCTGAGGAGCTGGTTGAACAAACAAATAAAAAAACATTACATTTGTTTATTTATTCATTCAAAGACTCTAGAAAGAGTGCAGAGAAGAGCAACAAAGTTGATTAGGGGACTGGAGATTAAAACATATGAAGAACGGTTGCAGGAACTGGGTATGTCTAGTTTAAGAGAAAGAAGGACTAGGGGAGACATGATAGCAGTGTTCCAATATCTCAGGGGTTGCCACAAAGAAGAGGGAGTCAAACTATTCTCCAAGGCACCTGAGAGTAGAACAAGAAGCAATGGGTGGAAACTAATCAAGGAGGGATTAGAACTGAGGAGAAATTTCCTGACAGTTAGAACCATTAATCAGTGGAACAACTTGCCTCCAGAAGTTATGAATGCTCCAACACTGGAGGTTTTTAAGAAGATGTTGAATAACCATTTGCCTGAAGGAGTGTGATGTTTCCTGTCTAAACAGGGGGTTGGACTAGAAGACCTCCAAGGTCTCTTCCAACTCTGCTATTCTATTCTATTCTATTCTATTCTAAAGAAGTGACCCAATGGTACTCTTAAACATGCTTTCCCTCCCCCCAAAAAAGCAACAGGACATGCACATCCAAACAGACGTAACTTGTACTTATTCTACACACAATGTTACTATTAATGTATTTCCTTGAGGAGGAAGAAGACATTTCGCTACTCCTCCAAGAAGCTTCGTTGGTTCTGGCAGGATGGTGGGAGCTATAGAAGTATTAATTCTCACAGGATGGTGGTGGGGTGTTGGAAAGATCATATTTCTTTGCAGTTTTCTGGTTGTTAGCATTTTCCCTGAGAGTTCTTAAGGCAACTTGGGGGTTTATCTGCTCCCTCAGGGTCATCTGTATCAGAGTACAAATGGGAATGGAATTTTCTTGGAACTACTATCATGTATTTGAGCTTTCCCTAGGCAACATCTCTTTGTCCTGTCCCCCAAGGTCTTCCACTTCTCCCCACTTCCTCATTAAGAAGGAGAGGAGCCATTGGTGGCTCCTTTTATACTTTAAATTAATTCCTACTTGGCCTTAGCCTATGGCCAGCTCTTGTCACAGTTCTGGGAGAGGTCAGGAGGTGGTAGTCCAGAAACAATCCTGTGTCATGGCTCAGATTTGGTGAACTCTTTTTCCTCCAGAAATTCACAGGCTGACGACCATTTTATTTGAATGGGCTTTGGAGAAGTGATTTGACTTTATTGGTTTTGAGATTTTATACTTTGTTTCACGGAGATAAGGAATTGGGCAGTACAGAAATGTATGTAATAAATGAAAAAAAGAACAAACTTGGAGTGACAGACATTAAGAAGAATGGAAAGGAATTTTAAAACTAGATAGGAAAAAGGGGGAAATTTAAAAAAAAGAAAGACAAACATATACTGTATAATGTTAAAAGAAAAGGGACACTGATGTCTCATCTAACATTGTAAACTCTAATTCTACCCATAAGACCTGAGTTTTGATAATGCACATCCAAACAGACGTAACTTGTACTTATTCTACACACAATGTTACTATTAATTATTTTGTTTATAATTAAGTGCTCCCTTGAGAAACAGAATAATCCTTTCCCACACACGCACACACTTAAAATGTTAGACTCCAAGGAAAACATTGATAAGATTGATGTTAACAACCAACGTTATCATTTTGGGAAGTTGGTGGCAAGATTTTAAACTATATTTATTTCTCCCACCCCCAATAAACTTTAGACTTCTGACTAAAATAAATCTTGTTTCACCACAGGAAGCATAAAGAAGTAACAGTATACATACTAAAATTATTCTTTGCAACTAGAAAATGCAAAGAAAAATAATCCAACATCTCCAAAACCCCAGGAAAAACACAGAAAATCCTCATTCAGCCTACCCATGTAATGTGACCCTACCTAGTTTTCATCACTGCCCTGCTCAATGTGGTTTTCGTTCTCCCTCCCAAATATTCCCGCCCACAAAAGACACATGTCTCTTTTTCTCTGCCATAGATGAACCAAAATAGACTCCAACTATCTTCCCACAATTACCAGCACTACATTTCAGGTATTGTTCTATGACAACTGTTCCTTTTCCTTCACAAAAGCAGCTCTTACAAAATCCAGAAATCCCTCTGGAATTATTGTAGATTAATACTCTCGAGTGACTGCAGCAATTTAACCCGGCCATTGTGTGTGTGTTTTGACTGCCAAAGAGGCAAAAGGACAAAGCCACAGTCTTAACTAAGCAGGGTACTTAACTCCCCCTTCCCTGCCCTTGATTTATCTGTGCCCCTGCCAACTCTGCAAATCAAATTAGATCCCCATCCTGGATGCCTCTTAAACACAAAATCCCTCTTTGTAGAAAGACTGGTTAATCTAGCAAATAATTGCTTCATCTCTATGTTTTATTGTTTATTTGGAAGATTAGGACGAGAACAAGGAATTCACAGCCAGCAGAATTAGTCTATTTGCATGGAAATCTGCCATCTCCATTTCTCTCTAGTCCATTGTAGTACAGTGACTTTATGACTTGTTGCGGGGAGTTTGAATTATTGCAGGCAGGCGCCACTAGGATAATTTCCAGCTGACAAACACTTCTCCTCAACAGCTCTTTAGGCAGAGAAACAGTTTTTTTTTTCCTTTTCAATTTTTCAAAAGCAGTGATAGAGACTGAATCGCGTCTTGCCCTTTAGGCTGGCTCTTAGCTTTGCAGAGGCCAAGCTCCGACTTCTGCTTCACAAATATGGCAAGCCTTTGAATTGCTAGCTGTAGATGTTTCCAGATGTGTTTTTAGAATGCAGGCATGCTGCCTCAAAGGCAAATATTTAGAGTGCATTGGCTGATTTTCTATTTTGATACCCTCCCTCATTTTCCACTTCTTATTTAATGTAGCTTTCCTTTTCTCCCTTTCTTTTCTTCTTACATAGACACATACGCACAATCGAGAGGGGAAAGATGGTTGACTACTGCCCATCTCTAACAGGCCTGTCAAATTGGTGGCCCACAGGCTGGATGAGTCACAAACATGCCACGCCCATTCCGGCTCCACAAAGGCAAAAAAAACCCATCCCAATACATCACAATATACATCACACGACATGATCGAGTTTGACCTCCGTGATCTACAAGGATTCTCTGGGAAAGTGTCTCAAATAGGTCATTTCCTGAGTAGATTTTGAATAAGCATCTACGCTTCCCTGTTCAGGGTTTATTTATTTATTTATTTTTGGTACAGGTCCTCCTCTTATGATCACAATTGACCCCAAAATTTCTGTTCTTAAGCGAGACATTTAAGTGAGCTTTGCCCTATTTTACAATCCTCCTTGCCACAGTTGTTAAATGAATCACTGAAGTTGTCAAGTTGTGAAGTGAATCTGGCTTCCACATTGACTTTGCTTTATCAGAAGGTCACATCCCATAACTCACAAATATGAGTCAATTTCCAACCGTCCACATTTTGATCATGTGATCAGGAGAAGTTGCAACAGTTGTAAGTGTGGAAAATGGGCATGTCATTTTTTACAGTGCCATTGTGACTTTGAACAGTCACTAAAGGAACTGTTGTAAGTTGAGGACTATCTGTATTTGCCCTACTCCTCTGGCTATAAAACATTAAGAGAGAGAGAGAGAGAGAATATACTGGCAAACATTTCGTACAGAAGAACAGGAATATGTCTGAAGCATCCCGCAAAATAGGAACATGTGTGCAACACACCCAAGTTCAGGCCAAGCATCAAATGATGAATTAGAGAAAATTCTTTGCTGCCTGTTGTGCAGCATATTGGCTCATCTGGCAATAGCCCCTCTTTCCCTGATTTAAGAGACAGTAGACTGCTCTCCGCTTTAGTTGAATATAAACATTAAAAAATAGGCTCTCCTAAAATATGCTGTGAATAATCCAAATACATTTTATCAAGCTGTAATATGACAGACTGCACACCCCAAAGCGCCTTATGTACCACACCCACTCCGTAGAGTCTAGGGAGCTGAGGCTTAAAGATGAGGCTAGCAACGTATCAATATATCCCAGTATGGTAAAAAAAAATGGCAGTAAATTATCCAAATCGAGTCATAAATGAGCTGGCCAGTTGGAGCACAAGAGAAAGGAACCCTAGACTTGAACAAGCTTAACTTTCTGGATTTCAGTCTCTTTACACACACATAGACAGCTCCGTCCAGCATTTTTGGCCTTCACTGTTGCCATGGAGCATCCATAGCTCTGAGATGTGGTGAGATAGAACAGTAGTACCCATTCATCAAAATGTTAATGCTCTGGCACTGAGTGTAAGAACAGATGAATCCAAAGAATGAAGGGGGCAGCAGCTAAAGAAATGAATACTCAAGTGCTCAACCAAAAGAATTGGAACTATTTCAACCAAGGATGAAATAGTAGGCAGGGGTGTAAGACCCTCTACTTCCCCACTTGGTGGAGATGCTCTTTGACATTTCAAGTATACAAATGATGCTATGATGTTTTCTGGATACCCATTCCACAGAGGGATTCTCTCTTAACGAGTAAGAAGATCTATCTATGGGGTCACCAGGCGTTGAAAATGAATGATGGCACTTAGCTGTAAAGGAACCAGCAGTCAAGAAATATGTCACAGACTGTCATTAGATGAAGGACTTGGAAAAGACATTCAGATGCTGAGGTCTTCCCTGTGCTCAGTAGTGGGATTCAAATAATTTAACAACCAGTTCTCTGCCTTAATGACCAGATGGGTAGGTATGGCTCGATGGTCATGTGATTATGTGGGTGTGGCCAACTCAACGTCACTCACGTCGATGGGTGCTTCGCCCTAGCTGTTACAATGTAATAAGGGTTAACCGGAGAGGCAGTTTCTGTAAGCAGGGCAATAAAGATTAGG